AACTTTGCAAATTGGACATTATTTCTGTAACAACCTAATATATAGCAGTCCGTAGGTAAACCTCCGTCGTTCCAGCTTAGCTGACCGCTCACCGTTGACCGAAACGGCCTTCTGAAGCTCAACCCGCATTCTCAAAGCGTGGCATCTTTGATCTAACTCAAGTTGTTGAGCTAAGTGCGTCACTCGTTTTGACAAAGCGTTGTGTAATGACTAAGATCAACGAACAACAATGCTTAATTTATATATCTTTATCTTATAGTATGTATCATTTTTTCAAAAATCCTCTTTGTCCATACTTTTTCACCAGACGTCTTGCAACTTCTATTGGATATGGAATGACAATCGTGTTGTTTCTGAAACGAAAGCAATTCACAATCTCTTGAGCCCATCAAAAGATGTTTGCGTTACCTTTGTGCCGCAACTTGATGCAAGGTCTGGAGATAACGCAATTGTACTGAAATCGTGTTGTTGCTAATGATATCGGCTGCTTCGGAGATCCACCTATAAAAAATAACGGGCATTTACGATCAACTAAATTAGGAAATAAATGCGTCTTTCAGTGACAGTGTCGCCGCTTCGTGCGGCTGCTGCGCGTATAGCACTGACCCTGCGCCGCGTCTGAGGACGTACTCTCAGGCAATTTCCACATTTCAACCATTAATTCAGTTCTTGAATAATAGATAGAATCCTGACTTTCGAAAGGGTGCAATTATTTGAGCAAATCAATCATCTTCGGAGTTTAGTAACTATTTTCCAATTCGCCAAACTTCAGTCGTCGCACATGCATAGGAAAATGCCCACAGAATATGTCGCACGCGGCGCATTTTCATGCAAGGCTGCCGCGCGCGGCGTCACCGGATACAGCATTGAGACAGAGCGTACCAGTGCAAATTCATACATACAAAAGTTACTATTATCAGATGAGGACTGTAAATCGTACTTCCTCCACCGTACACAATCTCGCTCACCTGGAAGCATTTTTCTCTCCCTCAGCATGAATGACAGCGGCTCTCGCTCGCCGAACAGCTTCAGCCTCAGCGGCCATACTTCGAGTGAGTTGGTGAGGAAGACGGATATCCTTGATTTCAACGCGCTCTACCTGAAGTTCTTTGTTACCGAAAATATCAACATATCTTACATATCTTTATCTTTACAAAGCCGTACCTTTACACCCCACGGCACCGTACCTTCGTCTAGCACTTTCTCGGTAATCTGAAATAGTCTACATTTATTTATTTAATTATTTATTTATTTATAAGTACACACGAGATGCACCAAAGGAAAAAAG